TGTTTTGCAATTATATTAGTCTTTAAAATATATTATTTGTTAAATGAACCTTATTTGATTAAAAAGATAAACCATGGATATAAGTTGATTATGATTTTGGAGATTTTGATAGTTGAAAGTGAATTTTATTAGTACCACCACGGAGGTCCTATGTCTGGGGGACTTAAACATCCACTGACCTCTGTTCTATTGTCACCTTTGTAACCATCTGAAGGTCCCAAGCATGGGGACTTAAATATCTGACCCTTTGAAGGTCCCATGTCTGGGGGACTTAAATATCTATTAATCCTCTATTCTGTTTTGTTATGTACCGTGGATATGGTTATTTTGCTTATATGATTTTCTATATTATATGTTCGAACCAAACTATTCTCTGTTTAGCCTGAATAATTATCCATGGTGATTTTTATACCTTTGTGCTCTCTCAATCTTGTAAATGAGATGATATCGCTTCATTTATTTTGTCTATTCAACAATTCAGATTGCATTGAAGAAAAAAAGGTAATGGTTTTGTCTCTTGTAAGCATCATGTTTGGTGACATCCCTCCCCGTCGTTGCCTTTTCTTTCCTCACTTATGGCCAACACAAAATCGTTTCTCGCCATACACCCATTCCTCACCCATTTCACCACATAAAAAAAAACACCTTTGTTGAATATGAAGAGAGAAAATAATTTAAGGTATGAATGATTGCACCAGAGCATGGGTTGCAAATTAGTTGGTAAGGATTTGGTTAATACTTGATAAGATTAGCTAGAATATGGCAGTCATGATGTACAATAGAAGTTGCTGAAGGAAATTGCATCAATTGGTTGCCTTCGACAATGGTCAGAGTTCAGATCTCAAGTGAAGGTGAGATGTCTTGATAGGCTGTGACAAGTGGAGATGACATGGTTGTGAGTGAGCAAAGATGAAATTGTGCGATAGAAGAAGGTGATTTATCAACGGTGAGAGGTTGTCACGACGTTCAGATGTGATGGTATTGACATTGTCATTCGATTCAAGAGCTGTTACGACAAGCACCACATCGCCATCAATGAGTAGTACCTCCTCGATGTGACTGGTCTGAGAGTTTTTCAAACGCTTCCCAAAAAATTGGGTTCGAGATGGGTTTCAAGTTCATTTGAAATCATGATATGGTAACTACCTTCGTAGAAGATATTCATTTATTTAAAAAGTGAATGAAAAATTAGACTCTAATCATTTACAAATATATAATTTATTCTATAATTGTATTGAAATTCAAAATTTTGATTTATTTATAGTTATCAAAATGATTGAAAGTTTCCTTTTCTTTTATTCATTTATTATTATTTTAATTTCTTTTTTTTTTATTTTTAAAAAGTTAGTTTACTGTTGGAGTTTGAAACCAAGTAATGTTTGATTAATACATTATTTTCTATTGAATAGGTCACTATTTATATATAATAATAATAATAACATAATCTAAAAAGTGTTAAATTTAGACTCAAACCATTACACCAATTACAACTTACAATCGATATGCTTTTATTTATCAAAAAATAAATAAAAATAAAAATGAAGAATTTGATATATAAATAGACTCTGCCTTTAAGACAAATTCTTTTTGTTCCATCTCTGTGGTTCGATATGTTTGCATATGAAAATTATTATTTTTTATTTTCTGTTCGGATACACATATTACTCACAATAATAAAAGAGATAAATCAAATGATGGTCAAACATCATGGGCAGAACTTCATGGTGCAAAACTAAGTCTATTACATTAAATCTTTGATAAATTAACATGTAATTACTTATTATTCGTATAATAGATTTTGATAATGTAAATTAACAGTGAAATTGAATACACTCATAACAATAGGTCTATAAATATCATGAAACTACTTATGCAATTTCTATATGGATTAAAACATTAATATAAAATTCACTTTCATACAAAATAAATTTAACATATTTTTTGCTTGAAACATGAATGATTCTTATGAATAATATTATCTTTCTCGTTATGCAGGATGTTCACTACACATGAAACTAGTCCCAAAAACTCTTTATTCGTTTTTTTTTTCTTTTCTTTTTCCTTCTTTTTGGTAACATTATGTATTTAAGAACTTATTTATTGTATTTTTAAAGCTTATACATCTTTTCATTCCATCTCTGTGGTTCGATATGTTTGCATATGAAAAATATTATTTTTTATTTTCTGTTCGGATACACATATTACTCACAATAATAAAAGAGATAAATCAAATGATGGTCAAACATCATGGCCAGAACTTCATGGTGCAAAACTAAGTCTATTACATTAAATCTTTGATAAATTAACATGTAATTACTTATTATTCGTATAATAGACTTTGATAATGTAAATTAACAGTGAAATTGAATACACTCATAACAATAGGTCTATAAATATCATGAAACTACTTATGCAATTTCTATATGGATTAAAACATTAATATAAAATTCACTTTCATACAAAATAAATTTAACATATTTTTTGCTTGAAACATGTATGATTCTTATGAATAATATTATCTTTCTCGTTATGCAGGATGTTCACTACACATGAAACTAGTCCCAAAAACTCTTTATTCGTTTTTTTTTTCTTTTCTTTTTCCTTCTTTTTGGTAACATTATGTATTTAAGAACTTATTTATTGTATTTTTAAAGCTTATACATGTTATATTTTGTTCATGATTTTGCTAAATTATTTATATAATATATTTATAAAGGGGTGCATTGTTTAGTACTAACATATGCCCGTGCCTGAAGGCACGATATAAATAATATTAGGATTAGAATATACTTGTAATCCCAACACTATTTAAATTTATTTTTTAATTTGATAAAATCACAAATTTATTATAAAATTTTGGAGTTCTCACAAAACTCCTCACGAAAACTCACTTTTGCTTATATGATATATAGCTAGATAGATTAGTACTAACATATGCCCGTGCCTGAAGGCACTGTATAAATAATATTAGGATTAGAATATACTTGTAATTCCAACACTATTTAAATTTATTTTTTAATTTGATAAAATCACAAATTTATTATAAAATTTTGGAGTTCTCACAAAACTCCTCACGAAAACTCACTTTTGCTTATATGATATATAGCTAGATAGATAGATGTGCTTGGCATACATGCAATTTTTACGGGCATACATATAATATTGCTTTTCCGTATATAATTATATGGAAATTGTATGTATGCCCATAATGTCCAAGTGTATTACAGGCATACATACATTTTATGGAAATATGTGTAAAATATATTGAACAAAAAGGAGAAAATAAAAAAATAAACAAATAGAGAGAAAAATAAAAATGGGAAAAAACAAAAAATTAAAAAGAAAAAAAAGAGAAATGTGGGATCATGGAAGGATGAGCGAGAAAAGGAAAAAGCAAGAGAAAAAGAAGTGGGAAAGTATAAAATGAATATGTAGGATATTTTTTGGAAAAATATATTTCAGCCGTTGTTTTATAATTTGAATAGATCTTAGCCATCCAAATGTCCTAGTAGGACAAAAATATGTTGAAGATTCAAAAATCGTCATGATTTATTAAAATATGTCGAAGATTTATATAAGGTCTAAATTTATGAAGTCTATCAGGTATTAATATATTTAAAAATAATATTTAATTATTCAAATTCATTTAATTTGTGAACTGTAAAATTCATTAATTTAATCTACGCTACACACAGTAAAATCTGACTCATAATTATGAAATCGCAGACTTTTCCATAAAATATGAATAAAAATAAGTGAACAAGAATGAGAAAATAAAAATGAAAAAAAATAAAAAAATAAAAAGAAAAAAGAGATGAAGGTGGGATCATGGGATCATAGAAGGACGGGTGAGAAAAAAAAAGTAAGAGAGCAACGGGAAAATAGAAAATGTATATGTAGAATATTTTTAAAAAAATATATGTCAGCTATTGTTTTATAATTTAAATAGATCTGAGCTGTCCAAATGTCCTAGTAGGGAAAATGTGTGTAGGACAAATTCAAAAACCGTCATGCTTTATTATATAGATGTTGAAGATTCATATGAGATCTAAATTTATGAAGTCCATTAGGTATTCAACATATTTAAAAATAATAATTAATTGTTTAAATTCATTTAATTTGAGGACTATAAAATTCATTAATTTAATCTCCACTACACATAGTAAAATTTGGTTTCAAATTCTTGGATCGCAGATTTTTCCATATAATATGAATAAAAATAAGTGAACAAAAATGAGAAAATAAAAAAATAAACAAATAGAGAGAAAAATATAAATGAGAGAAAATAAAAAAAATGAAAAGAAAAGAGAGATGAAGGTAGAATTATGGGATTATAGAAGGATGGGTGAGAAAAATAAAAAGTAAGAGAGAGAAGCGAGAAAAAAGAAATGTACATGTATGATATTTTTTAGAAAATATATTTCAGCTATTATTTTATAATTTGAATAGATTTGAGCCGTCTAAATATCTTAGTAGGACAAATATGTGTCGGACAAATTCAAAAATCGTCCTGCTTTATTATATAGATGCTCATTCTATTCTAAAATGTGTTCTGCATATTATAAGGACAATTAGAAGTAAGAAATTTTTTTAAAAACTAATTATATTACATTATATTAGATTAGATGAAAATCACATGTAACGCATGTGCACCCACTAACTTTTAAAAAAGAAGTAAGAATAAATAAAATTTTAAGAAAAATTTAAGATTTGATCCTTATAATAAAATAAATTGTGAGATTTTAATTTTCTTAATTTAAATTTTAAAATTTTGATTTGATTTCAATTTAAATTATCTATCTATTTTCGTTAAAATGACGTAAAAAAATAATAACTTAATCATTAAATTTAATAAAAAATAATATTTTAAACATTTTATGTACATTTATATTGAGTTTATGACTAATATATATATATATAATATTAATTTAAAAATAAAAAATTTATTTTATTGGATGAAAATGGAAGCTCCCTGGTAAATCACCCACCCCTCACTCTCACGAAATCACAACAAACCCGCCTCTTTTTCCTTCATCGCTTTCTCTTTCTCTATCTACACTGCCATAATCAGAGTAGAAAAGAGAATCGGAGAACAATCTGATCAATCTGATCACGACCCAACTAAGTATTTCCGATACCAAACACGATCTCGCTTCAGTTTTTCCATCTTCAAGCCTGTTTACAGGTATGAGCGAGTTCAGAGAAGACTGAAGAAGAGAGTTGCTACTTCAATTTAGGTACTCCATGGTCTTAATTTTGATTTCGGCTTGCGTTTTGCTTTCTGGAAGTAATTTCTGAAACTGTTTTTTGTTGTTTTCACTATTTATTTACTATTTCTGTTGTTACCACAGTTGTTGAATTCCTGTGCTTCTGGGTATCAAGAATAAACTAGTGGTTATTTGATGTGGGTTGAAGTGTTAATGCTTGCTTAGTGATTTTTTTCCCATTTTGGAAGTGTATTTATATTGTTTAAGGAAACATACATTAAAGCTAAATTTATTTCCCCCAAATCACTGTGCCCTTGTACCAAAAATCACAGCTGTTTGATCATGTGAGAATCTCAAGGTACAAGAACCTCAAGACATAATCCAATGACCGTGAGTGTTTTGTGATAGAGTAACATAGAGATTTGGTACTTACCCAAAAAACATAGGGATTTGGGACCTGTGCCAAAAACTTGGGAAATTGGTGTTAAGTATAGGTATGATCTGGGTCTCATGGGTGATTTTCAGAAAGTTTGTTTTGATAATTTTTTTAATATATGTATCTTATTGTCTTGTGAGCTGGGTTTTTGTCTTCTGTGATCAGATATGATAATTATGTGACTCTAGTGGAAAAGTGTGGGTTCTTTGGTTATAGTTTTGAAGTCTGAGTCTTGCTGTTAGAAATTATTGGGAATTTTCTACTTTGGGTTTGAGGTCAGAGATTCTGAATGGGTTCCATTCCATGGTTAGTGAAAAAGTTCCACACTGTGTGTTGGGGTTCTAAATACCATCCATGGTTAGTGTCGTGTTGCCATGTATTGGATTTATAATATGGGTTTTTATCAGGATTTGCTGGAGGTGTGTGGTAGTATATACTGGTTTTATTATATGATTATGTCTCTGTCAGCTACTCTTTCTCTTTGTGGTTGGAGAAGTATGAATTAAATTAGCTATTTATGCATTTCTTCGTGCAGAGGAAAGGATTTGAGGTGTGGGTTGAACTGTCATGCTGAATGTTGCTACTGGTTGGTGGGCTAGGGATGAATTCTACAATGGGTGATATGAACTTGATTCATCAGTCACAGAGACATCACCTGGTCGTTAGGGAGCTTGGAGAAGAGATTGATTTAGAAATTGGTCCTGGTGATGATGACCCAACATTTGCAACCACTCCCCTTATCGGTGGCCTGCCGCGAGAGCCTTCAGCTGAAGAGCATGATGATAGCAAACAGATGGTGATGGTTTCCGAACTTGTCAGTGAAGATCAAGATTTGTCAAAGATGCAAACTGTGAAAAGGAAGAAGAAGGTGGTTAAAAGATGGAGAGAGGAATGGGCTGACACGTACAAGTGGGCATATGTTGATGTGAAGGAAGGGACAGCAAGGATATTCTGCTCTGTTTGTAAGGAATATGGTAGGAAGCATAGAAGAAATCCTTATGGCAATGAAGGTAGTAGGAATATGCAGATGAGTGCACTGGAAGAACACAACAATAGTTTGCTACACAAAGAGGCCCTTCGTCTCCAAATGGCTTCCAAAGACAAGATTATTGTTGACAAACCCATTTATGTAAAAGGTTAGTCTACCACTTCGGTTTGTATTCCTTGTACTAGCATGATGCTTTTACTGGCATTCATATTTTAATAAATAGATTCTGCAATGTTGTTATGTGAAAATAATGTATTGATTTATTATTTTATAAATTTTATTTATATGATAGTTGTGCTGTAAATTATAACCCAACTCAGCTCGACTAATAGAAGATTCATGCATTGTCTGGAGTCTGGGCTATTTGGGGTCAGCCACGTGAAACTTGTTTGCTAATTTGCTCTATTGAGAGCAATACTTGTAGCCATGCAGTAGACCACGTGCTATATTCCCTGTGTTCTTGTTCATAAGGGCTCTAGCAAGTTTTTGCAATGGCTATTAGTGACATAGGGCAGTTTTTATTTTTTGTCCAAGTTTGGGATTGGCTGTTAATGATGAGACACTGTGCATAGTTGATATCTTGGTGAATAATTGCTATAAAATGAGTATAATCCCTTTTTGACACTGTAACACCATGTTATCTCACATAATAGATTAAAAATATAAAAATATAAACCTTTTATGCCAAGTCCATAGCCTTAAATTTGAGGTTTTATGGGTCCAATGTTTAGATACACACCATCACCCGAGTCCATGTAACATAGGGTACGGTGTGTGTCTATAAACTTAAATCTTAAGATATTGGGATATGTATCCAAAAGTAGGATTTGGGTATGAGGACTCATTATGACACTTATATATCTTTTCTTTTTCTTTTTTACAAATTTCATTCTCCATTACTAAATACTTAAGTTGTAACTTGTAATGGTCAGTGGAACTTTAGGTGTTATTAGTGGCATTAGGCAATAGGAACTAATGTGTGTTCAACTTGTTTGTATTCTTTGCATTAGGCACTGTGTTTTAGGTTATTTATTTAGAATTATCTATCCCAATTCTCAGTTAGTGGACTTGTATTGAGTAATGGTATGATTGCAGATTCGTATTAAGTATTGAATTGAGTTATTTGGGTGGCGCTAACATCACCATACTTGCCTCTGGTTCTAGAAGAGAGAAAAAGAGGAAAAATGTTGTGGGTCAAAGATCCGATCTAGGTTGGGAGAATGGGATTGAAATAGATGTTGTGACAAAAAAAAGTAAATGCAAGTATTGTGTCGTTACTTGTGCACGAGGTATATTTAGGTTGAAACATCATTTAGCTTGTACTCATCAAAATGTTAAACCATGTCCCAAGTCTTGGAAGATGTTAGAGAAAAGTTCATGAGTTTTCTGAGAACTCAAACATTAGAGTCCTGAAATAAAAACTAAAAAAAAATAAAAAAAAGGGAGGCTGGTTGATATTGGCAATGAAGAGGAGGTGGGACTATTAAGTCCTTAATATAAACAAAAGGAGGTGGGACTATAAGTCTTTAAAATAAACAAAAAATTATGGTTCCATGGATAAATTTGTAATGAAGTTTGAACATCAAAATCAAAAAACCCTCAGTCAAAATGTTTAGGAAAATCCCAAGGGTTGCCCTAATGGGTACAACTTGGGGCATGAGGGTATGCTCCCTCTAGGTTTCAAGTTCAACTCCCATTAGGTTCTGTCAACTCATTGGGGCCACGCCCGCAGGTTTTGCTCGAGATTTGCCCGATCCACGTGGAGGGGATGCTTTGTGTGGGTCCCGAGATTAGTTGAAGCGGTCATCAACCAAGAAAAAAAAGAAGTTTAAGAGGAGAGATGATGTTTGTGAAATTATAGCTCATTTCTTTTATGCTAGTGCAATTTCGTTCAACTGTTTCAACAGCCTATATTTCCACTCATGGTTATGAAGATTGGCATTATGGAAAAGGACTTGTGTCATTCTTTTACTATGATATTAGAGTGACATTTTATAGAAAGAAGTGCTGAGACATTGCAATTGCTTGAGAAGTTTATGGAACAGTAGAAGAAGACCAAATGTGCGATTATGTTGGATTGATGGTCTTACAGAAAGATAAGCTCCATATGTAATGAAACTAATTTTTTTGTTGTTATTAGATACATTTGACATTTCAAAAATTGGCAAAAGGTTTTTGAGATATTAGATGAGGTTGTTGAGAAGGTCGTAGGGAAAAGTGCTTCTAATTTTAAATTGTCGGGAGAAATGCTAATGGATAAGAGGCAAGGCTTGTTTTGGGTGCCTTGTGCCACACATTGCATTGATTTGATGCTGGAGAATTTTGAGAAGCAAATTCAGTTTCATCGTGTTACAATTGCAATAGGAAAAAGGATTGTGGCATATATTTATTCAATAACCAATCCTATTTATTGGATGAATGATTTTACAAAAGCAATGAATTTATTAGATCCGTGGTTACTTGGTTTGGTGATAAATGTCACAAGTTGAAGACATTTGCAATTAAGATATCAAGTCTTACATCCATTTCAACTTAGGACATTCATCCCCAAAAGAGCCCCAGCAATCACCTACATGAAAAGGTAGTTCCAAGTTTAAAGTTGAAAACAAATAATAAGATACTATGATTGATACAAATCAACTTATGGTAAAATTAAAGAACCTGGAGATTTCTTTTTTCTTGTCAAGTTTGCATTTTCTATACCAGAGTTCCCGTGCAATCTTGAATGCATCAATTGAATCTATCTTCACTCTCTCATTAGCATAGGGGACCATTATTGCATCAATTTGAATCTATCTTCACTCTGTCATTAGCATAGGGGCCTATTCTTTAAAGATACTTGTACATCCCAATTTTAACCTCTACATTAGGTTGAAAATTGGGACTATTATGAAATTGAAGGTTTAGGAAGTATGTTGCAACATGTAGTGGGTGATGGAGTTGAGATTCCCATCTTTTATCAATGATGGTCCATGTAGGATCATAGTTGACAGAATTGAGTAAATAGTAGATTAGATAATTTACTTTTTAAAAATAAAAGATAGACTAGAAAAATCAAATAGGTATATAATTTCTTTTTTTACCTTAGATAATTTACTTTTTAAAAATAAAAGATAGACTAGAAAAATCAAATAGGTATATAATTTCTTTTTTTACCTTGTTAGTACATTATTGAAATTCCTTTGAATTTTCTCTTGAGCACGATCCATTACATCATAAATGAATCCCATTGTCAGATGCTCATTGGAATCTACCAACCTAAGTACCTTAATGAGAGGTATTGCATCCTTCAAGCACATAGAAATGCCCTGAACGTTGAATGCGTCTCCATGTCAAGTAATAGGTTGCACACCAAGTAATCGTGGGCCTAATAAGTTCAGTACTTTTTGTAAACTCCTTTATCCAAATGAATGTTGATTTTTGAATAAATATATGACAATCTTTTTCCTTTTGCAATTGTAACACAATGAAGTTGAATTTGCTTATCAAAATCCTCCAACACAAAGCTATGTAATGTGTTGCATAAGGTGTCCAAAACAAGCCTTTCCTTTTTTATCCATTAATATTTTTGCCACCAGTTTATATGATGTGTTGTCTGTTACAACTTGCACACATTTTTCACTCCGACCTTCTCCACAACTTAGCGAACAGCTCAAAAACCTTTTCACTAGTTTTTGAAATGCTAGATATATCTAATGATGATAAAAAATAGTTTCGTTTTGGCTATTCGCAAGAAAATTACATATGAACCTTCCATTTCTGTCTGATCATCTATCTTACATAATTGTACATTCGGTCTTCTTCCATTGTTCCTCGAACTCTTCAAGCAATTGCATTGTCTCATGTCCTTCTTTTTTTAAAAAAATGTCACCCTAATTTTATGATAAGAGGGTGGCACAAGTTCCTTTCCATAGTCTCCAATCCTTTTAACCATGAATGGAAATATAGATTGTTGACACAATTGAAAGAATTGCATTAGTGCAAAAGAAACGAGCTGTAGTTTGACAAACATCATTTCTCTGTTCTTTCTTAAACATTTGATTAAGGGGTTTTTGCTTTTGACGTCTAGATTTGTCTACCACAAATTTATTCATGGAACCTAGGGCTGCAAACGAAACGAGCCGAGCTGAGCTTTAGTATGTTTAGGCTTTTATTAAGATTTTAATGAGTTCAAGCTCAATAAAAATTTAACCAAACGAGCTCGAGCTTGTTCACAAGCTTTAACAAGCCAAAGATATTATAAATTTATACTTGGGTATGAGATTAAAGTTACAATTGAAAATTTGATTATACAATTATATATACAATATATATAAACATACTAAAAGAAAAGTCAATATTTTATCAAAATAATAATATTTACCACCGCTATTATATAAATGTATTATCTGTAGTTAGTTATTATTTACATTTACACTATTTAAATATATAAATAACATATTTATCCTATTTTATAGATAGTTTTACATTATTTAATATATAAATAATATATTTATTCTATTATTTAAATAAATGCTAAACAAGCAACTAACAAGCCCAGCTAACGAGCTGAGCTTTAGTATGTTTGAGGTTATTTATTAAGATTTTAATGAGCTCGAGCTCGAATGTAATAAAAACTTAACAAACCAAGTTCGAATGAGCCCCCTTATCGAGTTGAGCTCGAACTTGTTCACGAACGACTTTGTTCATTTGCAACCCTATAATTTTTTTCTTACATAATTGTACATTCGGTCTTCTTCCATTGTTCCTCGAACTCTTCAAGCAATTGCATTGTCTCATGCCCTTCTTTTTTTAAAAAAATGTCACCCTAATTTTATGATAAGAGGGTGGCACAAGTTCCTTTCCATAGTCTCCAATCCTTTTAACCATGACTGGAAATATAGATTGTTGACAAAATTGAAAGAATTGCACTAGTGCAAAAGAAACGAGCTGTAGTTTGACAAACATCATTTCTCTGTTCTTTCTTAAACATTTGATTAAGGGTTTTTTGCTTTTGACGTCTAGATTTGTCTACCACAAATTTATTCATGGAACCCAGGGCTGCAAACGAACCGAGCCGAGCTGAGTTTTAATATGTTTAGGCTTGTTTATTAAGATTTTAATGAGTTCAAGCTCAATAAAAATTTAACCAAACGAGCTCGAGCTTGTTCACAAGCTTTAACAAGCCAAAGATATTATAAATTTATACTTGGGTATGAGATTAAAGTTACAATTGAAAATTTGATTATACAATTATATATACAATATATATAAACATACTAAAAGAAAAGTCAATATTTTATCAAAATAATAATATTTACCACCGCTATTATATAAATGTATTATCTGTAGTTAGTTATTATTTACATTTACACTATTTAAATATATAAATAACATATTTATCCTATTTTATAGATAGTTTTACATTATTTAATATATAAATAATATATTTATTCTATTATTTAAATAAATGCTAAACAAGCAACTAACAAGCCCAGCTAACGAGCTGAGCTTTAGTATGTTTGAGGTTATTTATTAAGATTTTAATGAGCTCGAGCTCGAATGTAATAAAAACTTAACAAACCAAGTTCGAATGAGCCCCCTTATCGAGTTGAGCTCGAACTTGTTCACGAACGACTTTGTTCATTTGCAACCCTATAATTTTTTTGTTTATTTTGATTACCTAATACTAATAGTGCTCCATATCCTTTTTTTTTTTTTTAATTTTTATTTTTCGAGACTAATGTTTGAGTTCTTGAAAACTTATTAACTTTTCTCTAATGTCTTCCAAGACTCGGGTCATGGTTCAACATTTTGATAAGAAGCTAAATGATGCTTCAACCTAAATATACCTCCAGCACGAGCAATGCCATTTTACATTTTTTTTTTGTTGCAACATCTATTTCAATCCTTTGTTCCCAACCTGGATCGGATCTTTGACCCACAGCATTTTTCCGCTTCTTCTCTTTTCTAGTACCAAAGGCAGGTATGGTGATGCTAGTGCCACCCAAATAACTCAATTCAACACTTAATATGAACTTGCAATCATACCATTACTCAATACAAGTCCACTGACTGAGAGTTGGGACAGATAATTCTAAATAAATAACCTAAAACAGAGTGCCTAATACGGAGTATACAAACTAGTTGAACACACATTAGTGCCTACTGCCTAATGCCACTAAAAATACCTAAAGTTCCATTGCTAGTTACAAGTTACAACTTAAGTATTCAGTATTATAGAATGGAATTGGAAAGAAGAAAAAGAGAAGAAGAATGCAAGCGGGGAAAAAAAAAGGAGGAAGAAGAACACGAAAGAACCAAAACAAGAAAGAAGAAGAAGACAGAATGTGGTTTCCAGGGATATTTGGTATGAACACAGCAAAGTTCACCATTGGGAAATTTAACATCAATAGAGCTAGGCAAAACAGTATCAGCATCAATTTCTACACAAACTCTAGCATAACGAAGCCTCTGATGTTTTCCAGTCAAGCTATCAGTATAAAGAGGCATACCAATGACACTAGCTGCATAGCTGACACCTTCAGCAGTCCATAACTCAAGTGCCAAATTATGGAACTGAATCCAAATTGGAATTTTACACAGGCATTCTCTTATTAGTGTCATTTGGGAAAGCCATTTTTTAAGTACCAGAAGCTTGCCACCAAAGTGCCAAGGGTATTCTAAAGCCATTCTCAACTTCTGATAAGATTCAAACAAGAAAAAGAAAAACCCTCCATCATTAGAGAGAACATCTTTAATCCCAAATCTGCTCCAAATTTTAAAAGCAATGGATCACATAGCAGGAAATGGAAGCTTTTTGTCAATGTAATACCCAACAAGACAATTATGCCATTGTTTAGTACCATCATTAACAACCTCTAAAGGGGGAGAGGTTCAGATCTTACCATCCACATATTGAGGAGGGAAGAACAATAGTTGCATATGCTGATCACCATCAGAGCTTGATTACGAATATCACCAGTATCATCAGGCCAATCCTTCGACAATTCCTGCATGGGAACACCTTCGCTATGCATAGGGATAGAGCAGTACCCGAGGATTTGCATGAGATCCTTCCCAACCAGATTAGAAGTTCTTGGAGATTGAGAAGTATTGGTCTTCGACTTTACAAGATTAGATCTATCCAGAAGTGGAAAATCTTGAATCGAAGCTATGGAAAAAAAAAAAAAATGAACACAGAAAACGGAGATTGAGCACAGATGAAGAAAAATTGAACACGCCTCTTGTCCTCCAAATACTCTTTCAGTCCTCTGACTCTTGTGTCTGAACTCCGAAGCGAGAGAGAGGGAAAGAAGATGGGGAGAAAATGTGGAAATTAGGAAATATTTATTCAGATCTGTCAATTCATTTGAATATTTTCCTAATGTAACTTGATGCTTACTAACATATTGCTTCCTAAAAACAATTTAAATTTTACTTTCTAATTCTTTTTCCATTTTTTGCACTCCTCTGCTGATTTTATTAAATTGAAGCTCTTATGTCAAAAACGGCTGGATCAATTGTTGAAGCTGCACTGAAGAGGGATCCTCATGAGGTTGAGTTCATACAGTATTCACAAGAAGTAGTTAATGCTTTAGAAAGAGTGATTGCCAAAAATTCTAAGTGAGTTGTCTCATGGATGAGTTATACTTGATTAGCACTTCATCATTTAGTGCAAACCACGTTTGTGGTGAAATTTATTGCAATTCTTGGACAATGCTCTATGATGTTTCAGTTATGTCAACATGATGGAGCGCTTGCTTGAACCTGAGCGTACGATTCTTTTCCGAGTTCCTTGGGTGGATGATCGGGGTGAGGCACATGTCAATCGAGGCTTTCGTGTTCAATTTAACCAGACTCTGGGACCTTGTAGGGGGGGTCTTTGCTTTCATCCATCAATGAACTTAAGCATTGCAAAGTTTATGGGTTTCCAACAGGTATCATTGGTATTTCTGGTGCTTGTGTTCTTTCACATTCTCCTTCTATGGTTTGTTGTTCAAATTTTGTATTAAACTTTTCTAGGTTATGCTTCCCATTTTGTTAATTTGCTTATCTGCATGAAATTGATTGGATTCATGGATAGTTCTGCCAGCCAGAGTCAAGCTCCTAAATGATTTAGGATCATAGTCAGATTGTTTTTTCTTTATATCCCTAAATTAAAGGCAATTGATTGATTGCATTTTTCTGCTTTAGATTTTACACGGGTTTCTTCCCTGCCTCCTTTTTTTCTTGTTTTTAATTTTCTTTTCCTGGTCAGTGGCTCGTTAGGACAATAAGGATAAAGCAAGTCTGTTTATAATCACAAACAAAACAGTAAAACCTTATTCCTTTTTGATTTTATCTATAGATACTAGGCAACCGCCTGAAAATGAAATGATCTATGTCATGTTCGACCACATTTAAAAAGTATGCTATGAAATGATCCTCTTTGTAAAACCCCTCGAATAAACTCAACCCTATGACCTTTTTAACTTACTATTTTAACGATTAACTAGATCAAATGAATCCTTTCCTTTGTGTGTTTGTTTGTTGGGATCAAATAAAATCAATTATCCATGATACATGACTCATCCCCGATTAAAAATTGCCATATAGGACACTTGCCAAAATGAGTTCCTTGTTGGATGTCTTTCGGACATTCAGAGAGAGTTCACCTCTATTTATTATGGTCCTTAGAACAAAGTTGCATCATTGGAGAGCTTCAAAAGGCACTACCGTACAAGGATATTCTCCAAATTAATCTCTACTGAATTGATAGATTACAAGAATACAATAGTTTGCAGAGTCTTTCCTACCCTTACTAGGAGTATGAGAGAGCCTATGGCAATGCTTCTTCTTGTAGCTTTGCTCCTTATTTAAATCTGGGTGAGGTCTATTTATGAACACATTTCAGGTGATAGTTACTGCCGGAACTTCTCTACCAGATAGATATTACAGATGTGTAGCAAACGTAAGCCTGCGATTGTGTGACAATGTTCTGTTTTTACTTCTTCGCAGACATTAAAATGTGCCTTATCTCCGTATAAGCTTGGAGGCGCTGCTGGTGGTAGTGATTTTGATCCCAAAGGAAAAAGTGACAGTGAGGTATTATTTGCATTTTAAAATGTATTTGCTTTTGATGATGTATTCTTGGTTGTTCTGATTCTTTTTGTTTTTAATAATTGTTTGCAGATCATGCGCTTTTGTCAGAGTTTTATGGATGAGCTATATCGTTATTTGGGTCCTGATAAGGTAACCCGGAAAGTGAGATGTTTCATTAGTTGTTTCAGACTCTCAGTGGATTATATATGAAATTTTAAGCATGTCGGATTTTATGGTGTCTCTTTTAATTTTGCTATGCCAAGAAATTTTACACTCCCTGTTTTATTTTTTCTAAATTATTAGGATCTTCCTTCGGAGGAGGTTGGTGTGGGTGCTCGTGAAATGGGTTATATGTTTGGACAATATCGGCGACTAGCCAGTCATGTTCAGGTATCAAGCTGTGTCTCTTGCTGAACTTGATTTTTCATCTATATTACACAGACACATTGATGATAAAAATCATAATGTCAAGTTATGGCTCAAGAATGAGTGAAACGTTCTTGACCAACATCTGAACCTCATGCACATGAACTGGATTAAGATTTAAGGCATGCTACATATGCACCATCCATTTGAAGATCAACGGAATTAAACGGTGAATCTGACATGTACGAGGAAAAATATGTTCTTGTATTGTCCATTAATGTTCTACAGGATACTTTTTTTTTTTTTTTGTTGATAAGAAAAATTTTATAAACAAAAACTACTTAGCCTTCGTTTGGGATGTGGGTTGGTATTTTGACTTTTTGGCTATTTTAGCCTGGGGCTAAAAGTCTCGTTTGGGATGAGTTTTTTTATTTATTTTTTTTACTTTTGTGAGAGAAAAAATGAAATGATTATGGTTTAAATGTGAAATTTTGTCTTATAGGCTAAAAAACTTATTTTGTCTTTTTGTGACTAAAATAGCCTAAACCCAACCTGTAGAAATTTAATGTATAAAGAGAAAAAGAGAATTGTATTATTGATTGATGTTTGTAATTGTTGAATTATTGAATGCTACAATGATTCCTATATATAGAAGAGTAGGTGGTAGTAGGTGGTAGGTGGAGTAGGTGAAGTGGAGGTGGTAGTGGTGTAGTGGGTTAGGTTTAGTGGGTGAGGTGGTAGTGGTGTAGTGGGTTAGGTTTAGTGGGTGAAGTAGGTGATAGGTTTTAACAGTTTTGAATTCTGAATCGAATTGACAATCATTAAGAGTCGATACAAATTATGAAAAAGATCTTAAATAAACGCATATATGAAAAAGAATGAAACAAATTGGTTGACATATCATATACAATATTTCTTATATAGGAACATCATTACACCGTCTAATTGGGAAAAACATGGCTTTATATCGAGAGATGTTGGTCTAAATCTCACAAACTATAAAATTATTCAATAACTATAATATAATCTCTCTTGGCATACAAAAAATGGACCTAAGAACCCTATATAAAAGGTAATAAGAAGAAAGAATTAAGTAAAAAACAGTTATTTTAAAATCTAAAATACTTTAAAAGTGGCGTATGATTATTGCTCAAAAAAAGATTTTTTTTTTTAAATTTAAAATTTTTTTTTTTTTTTTTTTTTTTTTTTTTTTTTTTTTTTTTTTTTTTTTTTTTTTTTTGTTTTTTTGTGTGGTGGTGTTTGGGGGGAGAAGAGGGGGTTTCCAATGTTCTTTAAAAGGCCTTACAAATAATTTATTACGTAGTTAGGAGCAATGTTTTCAAAGGCTTTAATGATGCTTGCCTTGCCTCGAGGCTAAGGTAAAATGCTTCAAGGTTTTGATTTTCAGGCTATACTCCCTAAAGGCTTGTGCCTCATGATGTGAGGCATGCGCCTTAGGTGCGCCTTGTATGCCTTTTGCGCTTAAGCCTATGACGAGTACACATATGAAGAGGTTGCCTATACTCTTGTTAAACTTAGTCTAGTAGATAGTTCAACCATCAAAAAGCCAAAAATTAAAAAAGAGCTTCTTTTGTGACTATATTTTACATAAAAATTTAAGTGAATGAACAATGAACAAAAAATACAAGTTAATGCTCAAGTGAGAAGCTCAATCACTGAAGCTAAGAATGTCAATTTCACTTTCAATGAAAGCAAGTTTCATTCTCTGCAGTGAAATGTTTGATGCCTTAAGGAGAAAAGTATTTATACCTTTATATTTAATTTTTAATTGTTTTTTCACTATTTTAAAATATATAATTTGTTTACTAAATATTAAATTTGAAATGCTTACGCCTTAAGGCTATTGCCTCACTTCATGAGGGGTAAAACGTCTCAAGTTACGCATTCGCCTTTAAAAGCTTTGCTTACGAGGGATATAGTCGACTGGCTTATGGCATCATGATAAACCTATAATCATCACCCATGGATAATTTGTGGATGCCATTAGCAATGTTACATTGGGTGAACAAGAAAAATTATTAATTTCTTTTCGTGTGATTGTGTTGAACAGTCTGTGGCAAACTACTGTGATTCTGTGAAGGATGTGATTTAAGTGTTTTCTCTTCAATTGGTTGCTCCTCTTTCCCAGGGCTTTCATATTTTCCTAGTACTTTCCTTTTTTGCTTTCATGGTTGCGTGCCTTTTTTTTCTCAATCTTTGTTTTATGGGAAGATTTGCTTTGATACTAGAGGGTGTTACTTATTTGTAAAATACATGAAAATAATTATATTAAATTGTGCTACTGTTGCTATGCCACATTTGGTATGTGCATGGTCACATAATTAAAGCATGGGTACCACTAAATCATATAATTGGTGGATATTTTCTTACATTATATCCATTGAATGTTGTCTTTCTAATTTGAACTTTTCCTTATGACTCTATTAGTGCTATTATGTTTTGCTCTATAAGTTATATTTATACAATATTGTCCATGAATGCATCAACTTGCTGCTAAGACTAGGTTTTTTCATGGAGTCATTTTTCTTAAATCTTTTTGCAAGTATGATTCATGTGAAATTTTTCTGGAAAATTTCATTTGTATACCTTACTTATGCAGGGAAGTTTTACAGGGCCAAGGATAATCTGGTCTGGCTCTAGCCTACGAACTGAAGCTACTGGCTATGGGCTGGTATGTAATATTTCTTTCTCCATCTCTCTTTGTATGTATGTGTGCACATGTGCATGGATGGGTGGGTTTGAGATGTGCATGTTCACATTTATGCATCCTTCTTTGTATGTGTGTGGAGAATCTTTATTTTTTTCTTTGACTGGATGTCTGTCATTGTTTTTTCCTTGTTATCGCCTCCTGATTTATGCCTCTGTTGCATATTTGAAATCTCACAACTCCCTTGATTTTGCAGGTTTTCTTTGCACAACTTGTTCTTGCAGACATGAATAAAGAACTTAAAGGACTAAGGTTCGTTACTTAAATTGTTTTTTGATAAGTAGCATATTATAAAAGAAAAGGCACCAAGGGGTTGCCTCCTGTATACACTATAAGAAAATTAAAAAAGCACCTAGAACTTCTATACATAAGATCTCTACTCAAAAAACTACAAAGTTCAAAAAATTGGTTCAAGGATGGATAAATACTTATCAAGAACCAACTATACGAAATGGACAAAATTCTACTCTTCAATTGTTTTAAAAAATGGCTCTTTCTTCTCATCAGAAGTCCAAGTCATATTTTATTATATATACTGAAACAAATTTACCATTGTATAGTTCTAGAAGATTTGATTGGATTTTTTCCCCCTTTTTTTATTTTTTTCCATCATTTGTGTGAATGTAGGATTATTGTTATATTCTAAACCGAACTAACCCTTGTGTCCCAATCAAGTGGGGTCGACTGTATGAATCTTTTGTTTTTTCCATTCTACGCTGTGAAGGCTATATGGTCAGTTAATCTAAACCGAACTAACCCTTGTTATATTCATTTTTTTTACTACCGCCTTCCATATCAGTTTAGGCCTTCCTCTCCCCCAAATATTTCCATTTTTGGTGATCATATGGTTCTTACTTACCGTTGCATCTATACATTTCGTTGTACATGACCAAATCATTTCAACATGTTCTCTCTCAACTTATTTACAATTAGTGCTACTCTTATCATTTCACGAATATATTCATGTCTAATTCTATCTTTCCTAGTCTTACCACACATCCAGTTAAGCATTCTCATCTTAGTTGCACTCATTTTATGAACATGTTTCACAGTTGTTGAACATTTTGTCTTGTGAAGCACACTAGGCTTATAGCTATTGTATAAATTTTTTCTTTCAATTTTGTTGGTATTCATTGATCACATAATATGCTCGATGCACTCATCCGCTTGAGCCAATCTATTTTGATTCTACGGATCACATCGTCTCTAACCTTGCCATTCTTATCAATAATCAAACTTAGGTAATGAAAATGTTTACTATTAGTTATTTTTTGATTTTTAATATTCACTTATCCATTATTTCTACTTCTATTATAACTGTAGTTACATTTCATATATGCAGTTTTATTATGCTAATTTAAACCTTTTTTATTCAAGTGCTTCTCTCCAAATTTCTAGTTTAGTCTTAATCCTTAGTTTCATCCACTAGAATAATATCATCTATGAACAAAATATGCCATAGGACGTTATCCTCAATATGTTTAATTAATTCCTCTATAACTTGGGCGCAAATAGGTAAGGATTCAAAGCTGACCGTTGATACAACCCTATAGTGATTGGAAATTTACTAGTTTCTTCTAAAGGTGATCTAATTGTAGTCACAACTCCATCATACATGTCTTTTATCACATAATCGCATCAATATATCCTTTGATCTCACCCTTTTCTCCAACATCCACAGGGTTATTTTGGGAAGATAGTTATAAGCAGCTTTTTTGTGAGAGAGGAAGTGGGTTATAATTTGGGAAGCGGATTATAACCCACTTCCCAAAATGGCCCACAATATTATATCTCTTGGTATCCTTATCATAAACTTTTTCTATATCTATAAAAACCATATGTAGATTCTTCATTTTCTCTCTGTACTTTTCTATTAATTTTTTTAGTGACTATGGGTATGTTTGGTTTGTGTTTGAGAGATGTGTTTTAGAGATAAAAAGTACGAAAAGTTGTTTGGTTTGATTTTTTCAAAAGATGTTTTAAAAATTTATTTTGAGAGAGAGTTTTGAAAAAAATGATTGATTTGATGTGTGTGTGAGAGAGATTTGTTTGGAAAACTTGTTTGGTTTACAAGTTTTGAGAAATTTTTTTGGAAAAATTTGTTTGGTTTTATTTCTTTTAAAAACTTATTTGTAGAGAAAATTTTCCAAATTTTTTTCAGAAATACAAACCAAACGAACCCTATATCTCTTCCATAGTTAATATGCTTGGCATAAGTCCAAACTGATTCTCTTCCACTATTATTGCAACTCTTAGGCGATACTCAATCATTCTCCCACAATTTCATTGTATGACTCATTCATTAACTTAATGCCTCTATACTTAATACAATTTTCAATATCTTCTTTATTTTAATATGGAGATTACCAAAATACTCTTTCTTTTTCTCTACTTGTCTACCATTTTCTTAGTTATTCGAATCTTAATAAAGAATTTTATTAACCAAGACATCCCCTTCTTATCAAAGCATTTCCAAGCCTCAATGGGGATACAATTTGGTCCTAATGTCTTACTTTCATCTTCTTCCATGCAAATTCAATCTCAAACTCCCTTATTGATGATAAAATCTATATTCTTTAGTTCCATCGATTCTATCATATTCCTCTCACCTTAAGTTTTTAAAATGCTTTTTGGTTAACAGTGTCTCAAAATATTTTTTTTTTTCACCTTTCCGTATTCTCCTCATCTTTCACTACACTCTGAAATCCTCACTTTTTATACATTTAATCTGATTGAAGTATCTTGTTTTCCTTTCTTTCAATTTAACAAATTTGTAAACATTCTTTTTTCCATCTTTACTATCTAATTTAGAATAAAGATAATTTGCAGTTATTTTCCTGCTTGTTTTTGCACTGATCCTCATCTTGTTTGTGATGACTGACTTGTAAGATTTCAAAGAAGACCTGTTTGCCCCTACTTCTTGCGTCGTAAAAGACCTTATCCATCCAGCACTCCCCCTCACTGAGAAATATGGCTTTTGTATGGAGTTTCTCAATAAGATCATAACCTTTAGATTCAGCTCTAACACAAAGCTTATGCTCTAATGAAATTCTGATAGAGGTATTGAATGACAATTCAAGCAAAAGCTGCTGGTTCAGAAAAATTTGTAAGGGGAAATAAGGTGAATAATGTTGAGGTTAATTGACAGACATGATGGAGATATTCATAATTTGCGAGATTATTTTTCAGATTTAAAAAAATTTAAACAAATAAACTTTCAGGTATGTATGGTTGTGTGTGGTTATCATGGTGTGTTTAGTGGAGGTGGTGGCTTTGGAAGTGCTTTCTAATGAGGTGGTCACTAATAAGGTGGATTTCAGTGAAGGTTGTGGTCATGGGATGGCTTTTAACAATGAAAACTATTGAGCAACTTGATTGTCACGCCCCACATTTTATTACTCGGAATCCATTATCAAATTCATTAAACATATTCAATTTCAGAGATAACATGCGGAAACTCTTTACATCATTTGTAAGAATAAATAAAAATTCTCTCATCCGTAAATGCAACATGTATATATCTAAATAATTGCCCGCAAGCTTACATCTTTAACAATAAAAGAAAGGGTTTAATCCTTTTACATCAATGACATTCTGCCTACAAATAAAAGGCCTTGTGGCCAACACATAAAGAAGATCCTCAATCTTGAAACACCTCTTGACGTTCACCTAAAAAAAGATTAGCAACGTGGGATGAACATAAAGTTCAGTAAGGATCTCAACATGATCCTAAACAATAGCAACTTACAGATAGCTATGATTATGAATGCATCAAGTCATATCATATACATAAAGTGACGGTTTATACCGAAATATACTTATATAGGAACTTTTCTCAAAAACATTCTTTTCATTCAACACTGTAAGTGATCCACCTTTCTTTTCTTTTCATTACCCCTTTTTCCCAAACCTTCATGACAATAACAATTCTAGAAAACAATTTCACCAAGCCCATTACTTTTCTCCCATATTCCATACTTACAGCAGATTTGCCTTTTTCAAAACATGTTCACAAATACCCAATTTCCTTCACACTTTCCAAAATCTGAAAATAGTATTTATGTCTGTTCCCAACACATTCATACCTATACATGCATAGCTTTAGTAAAAAGGGAAACAACAAATTATCAACAAGTATGTGATCAACAAATGAGGCAACTCGGCCTTTCAAAACTGTAACCATCGTAACCCATAACATACTCAGATACACTGAAACAATGATGATAAAAAGCTCTGCTCTACCTGCCATAAGCACGATAAGTTAAGGGTACACCTTTCGGCAAATGACATGCCAAGTTCTTCAGACACAAGCTGAAAGGTACTGGTACCTCTACCAAGTTCTCCAGACACAAGCTGGAAGGTACTGGTACCTCTGCCAAGTTCTCCAGGCGCTAGCTGGAAGGCACTAGTATCCCTCATTCTAAGCGTGGTATATAACACCAACCATTACAACGCAACAAAGCACAACCAACAAGTGTAATACATACACATAAACTATTCAATAATGTTCAACCAACACAAGTGTAATGCATACACAACAATTCAACACAACAATGTCATTCTCCACCGATGACCAAGGACAAAACCTCTAGATGCATGTATTCAACATACTTATTAAAATGACTCAACTCTCATGAGATCTTAAACTCAACAACGGCACTAGTACGATAGTTAAAGGTACAACCCCCAAATGTGTGTATTCGACACTCATGATATAATAGTTCAACTCTCATATTTATTTTCTGAGACTCAAATAGAGTTATCATTTCATTTTCCATTTTCAAGATCAACTTCCATAATTTTCCAGGTCAACATATTCCACCACTTATTCCAACCCACTTTTCCCAATTCACAAAACCAATTCATTCTTTTCATTTCACAAAACCAATTCCACGGATAAGAAAGCCATAACCCATCTCAGTTCAATACGTTCATTTCAAAATAACCCCAATGCCATAGTTAATCCCTTAGCCATTAACTCATTTACACAATCCATATTAACAATAGTAATTTACAAATATTGTTCAACCATCCTCCCTTTTAATTTACCAAATCAAAATATAATTTAGGGCTTTCTCTTCTTTCAACAATATCTTGCTAGATTACACCCCAATTAGCCCAAACAACAATCAATGATAACAAACTCATTCTCAAACAACCAATCCTAGGTTCCCTTTCATGATTTTCAAAGAAATCCAACATGGATATGATTTTCATGCAATATAAATTTACCACATGTCTATCTATGAACGAGGTATTGAAAAGAGTAAGGAAATCCCTACCTCAAGCTTAGGAGAGAAAACCACCCAAAAATCACTGGCGACAAAACCACGAACCACTAGGACCAAAAGGAAGCCCTTGACGAGATCTACAATCCATCTCAAAGGACCATGGTGAAAAGATCACTCTAGGTGAGTAGATCTAGAGATCTTTGAGCAAAAAAAGTGATTTTGGAGAGAGAGAGAGTGATACGGTTTAGAGGGAGAAAAGAAAAGAAGAAATAAAGAAAAGGGTTAAGTGGGAACTTATTTATAGTACTAGGTCAAAATAGAAATAAGCCCTAAAGTCAACCCAAAATATCTAGTCAAAATATCTCCAAAAAGTAGGCCCAAACCGGTAGAAAAATCTGAGAAAAAGTCACAGGTGTCGACCCCTGCAACAGTGGTGTCGACCCCTGCAACAGTGGTGTCGACACCAAAGAGGAAAAAAAATCTGGGAAAGCTTTGACTGCACTGCAGGTGTCGACCCTACCCCAGACTGGTGTCTACCCTATCTTCCAGCAACCAACACACAGACAGAAGAGGGTCGACCCTCTCCCAGTCTGGTGTCTACCCTATGTTCCAGCAACACTTCCAGAACTTCATCAACAGTTAAGGGTCAACCCTAGGAAGGCTGGTGTTGACCTTAGAATGGAATTTCTAAGTCTCCAAGGAACTTTTGACAAGAATAAGTGCGAACAACCAAACCCAACAAGTTTAAATCATCCAAAACTAAAGTACACAACACCAAAGGTTTCCAAAATAGAATAAAGGGTCCAAATACATTTACCAAAAGCTTTAAAAGGCACAAGTGAGCTTATATCAACAATACTTCAATTTCAAATGAGATAACAACTCATATCATTAACATTCAATACTTCCAAAACAGGTTTGAGAGTCCATCCCCTAAAAACTCTGTGTTTTTTGGGTTGAACAACGCAACAAAGCACAACCAACAAGTGTAATACATACACATAAACTATTCAATAATGTTCAACCAACACAAGTGTAATGCATACACAACAATTCAACACAACAATGTCATCTTCCACCGATGACCAAGGACAAAACCTCTAGATGCATGTATTCAACATACTTATTAAAATGACTCAACTCTCATGAGATCTTAAACTCAACAACGGCACTAGTACGATAGTTAAAGGTACAACCCCCAAATGTGTGTATTCAACACTCATGATATAATAGTTCAACTCTCATATTTATTTTCTGAGACTCAAATAGAGTTATCATTTCATTTTCCATTTTCAAGATCAACTTCCATAATTTTCCAGGTCAACATATTCCACCACTTATTCCAACCCACTTTTCCCAATTCACAAAACCAATTCATTCTTTTCATTTCACAAAACCAATTCCACGGATAAGAAAGCCATAACCCATCTCAGTTCAATACGTTCATTTCAAAATAACCCTAATGCCATAGTTAATCCCTTAGCCATTAACTCATTTACACAACCCATATTAACAATAGTAATTTACAAATATTGTTCAACCATCCTCCCTTTTAATTTACCAAATCAAAATATAATTTAGGGCTTTCTGTTCTTTCAGCAATATCTTGCTAGATTACACCCCAATTAGCCCAAACAACAATCAATGATAACAAACTCATTCTCAAACAACCAACCCTAGATTCCCTTTCATGATTTTCAAAGAAATCCAACATGGATATGATTTTCAAAGAAATCCAACATGGATATGATTTTCATACAATATAAATTTACCACATGTCTATCTATGAACGAGGTATTGAAAAAGAGTAAGGAAATGCCTACCTCAAGCTTAGGAGAGAAAACCACCCAAAAATCACTGGTGACAAAACCACGAGCCACTAGGACCAAAAGGAAGCCCTTGACGAGATCTACAATCCATCTCAAAGGACCATGGTGAAAAGATCACTCTAGGTAAGTAGATCTAGAGATCTTTGAGCAAAAAAAGTGATTTTGGAGAGGGAGAGAGAGATACGGTTTAGAGGGAGAAAAGAAAAGAAGAAATAAAGAAAAGGGTTAAGTGGGAACTTATTTATAGTACTAGGTCAAAATAGAAATAAGCCCCAAAGTCAACCCAAAATATCTAGTCAAAATATCTCCAAAAAGTAGGCCCAAACCGGTAGAAAAATTTGGGAAAAAGTCACAGGTGTTGACCCCTGCAACAGTGGTGTCGACGCCAAAGGGGAAAAAAAATCTGGAAAAGCTTTGACTGCACTGCAGGTGTCGACCCTACCCCAGACTGGTGTCTACCCTATCTTTCAGCAACCAACACACAGACAGAAGAGGGTCGACCCTCTCCCAGTCTGGTGTCTACCCTATGTTCCAGCAACACTTCCAGAACCTCATCAACAGGTAAGGGTCGACCCTAGAAAGGCTGGTGTTGACCCTAGAATGGAATTTCTAAGTCTCCAAGGAACTTTTGACAAGAATAAGTGCGAACAACCAAACCCAACAAGTTTAAATCAATTCGTACTCCTCCAAAACTAAAGTACACAACACCAAAGGTTTCCAAAATAGAATAAAGGGTCCAAATACATTTATCAAAGGCTTTAAAAGGCACAAGTGCTACACTGATCCTGAAGTGAGTTTACAGCAAAATCCTAGCAAACTGGATGGTTCATGAAGAGAACTTGTGGGTGACAGAGTCTCTGGCTTGGGGATGTGGTTTAAGAACATAGGCACTTCAAAAGACATGTGCCAAACCTTTTATTCATGCCTTGATTCTATATTTGAAAAATGAACTACGTTCGTTGTATTTTTTTTACATAAATTATGGCTAAGACCAATTGTCAAACCGCGGAACTCCTTTTGTCAAACCAAGAACCATACTTTCTCGTTACTAGACAAACTCGAACAACAACAACAATAACAACAAAAACAAAATGGGGATAAAGTGCATGAGAGTTTTACTTGTTACATTCGATTGATTATAGATCAAAACAAAAAATATTAGAAAATGGATGAACATAACTAGATTAGAGAAGGGCAAAGTTGTTACTGAAATAAGTTAAATTCATGATGACAACTTGTTTTGCCTACCTTTTTGATGGTCATGCAAACCAGAAGGGAGGTCAGTGTTAACTTAAAAATCATGAGGATAGGCATGTATAATTGTCAGAAGCCTCAAGAAGGTGATTTGATTTACCGTATATTTTTTCTTAGGCTTATTGACTGCTTCATTTACGAAAAGAAGAGCAAGAGACATGATGTAAAAGTTTTGTCATTTGATAAGTTCGTTTTAACTGTTCCTATCTGAACTTGTCCAGATGCGTTGTTAGTGGTTCTGGAAAGATTGCAATGCATGTTATAGAGAAGCTTCTTGCTTTTGGTGCTATTCCCATCACAGTATCAGGTATGCTCTAATGTCCAATTAAATTATTTTCAAATCAAATCATATAAAGGAGGTTTTTTTTTTTTTTTTTTTTTTTTTTGGGGGGGCAAAATCCATTTTTATTTTTATTTTTTGGTTCGACAAAAATTAATTTATTTGAAATGCTTTTAATTCTCTCATTTTTTCCTCCCTGTAAACCTGTTCTTCTGATTTAGCACTTTGCACCTCTTCTTTTTACAAGTAAGAGTAAATATGTATTTGAGCTGTTATTTTAACTTGGAGCATATGCTGAAATACCTGCATCATCATGCTTAGCTTTTAGAGTCGTTGTGGCTATAGGATGTCTTGTAATGTTTCAATTGTTTTTTTTCAACCAGTTACAATTGGCAATGCCATCTCTTAAATATGCTTGTGATTAGTATCCATAAATAATCAAGTGGGCATAAGTTTTTCTCCCCTCCCATTTTGTTTTTCAGAGTGGAGTACGCAGAAAATTCTGTTACGATTTATACATGCAATACAATAATTTTGTCCTACATAACTTGATAAATTTCATTGAGTTTGTCTTTTGGCCTTTACATTCTATCTATAGTGGGCTTATCATCACGGATAACACATCTTCTGATTATTAAGCATTTAATCCACTTCTAAGAAGCATGGTTGCTTGCAGGAATAGGATAAATTGGAAATATAATTAAAACAGTGATGGTCAGTAACAAATTGGAAAAATTCCAAACTTGCCAATTCGGTTGTTTCCATTTGTATTGATTTGTGCAATAATGATAATGTTGATTGATACCATGTGAGAAAGTTGACCCCAAGCAACATAGTACATGCATTTGAGTCGGGTATATTCTAGAAGTGTTCCTATGCTTTTGAATGTGATTCACATAGGTGTTTAGTTTCAGACCTTTCAGTTGAAGTGACTCTTAAGAACTGGTTTTCTACCAATGCATATCTACTTTGTAGTAGAAACAAATGGTTTAGGGTTGTTTCATCTCTGATGTTGTCTGTTAAAATAAGTACGTAAAGTGTGGAAAATCCTAAGTGATAACTATTTTTGCATTTCATTATTATTTTTATTTCCTAGGTACTTTAGGAGTGACAGTAGTTAATCCCTACAATGACTGAATACCATTTTATGGACAGTTTGTATAAACACGTGCCTTTGCCGAAAAAAAATATTGTACAGATTCCAAGGGTTATTTGGTGGATGAGGATGGATTTGATTACTTGAAAATAGCTTTTTTGAGAGATATTAAAGCTCAACAAAGAACTTTGAGGTTTGTTGTCCTGTCATTATGTCCCAAATTGCACCATTCAATAACTTCGATATTTCCTTATTCATTAAGTGGCACGCGCAGAGACTATTCAAAGACTTATGCTCGTTCTAAGTACTATGATGAAGCAAAACCTTGGACAGAAAGGTGTGATGTTGCATTTCCTTGTGCTTCGCAAAATGAAATTGATCAGTCTGATGCCATTAATTTAGTTAATTCAGGTTGTCGGATACTAGTAGAAGGTAGTGGTTCTCAATATGATGATGCTTTTAGTTCCTTTTTTCTTTTTCATTTTTTTTTTTATAAAAATTATGTTTGTTATTATTATTATTTTTTTATGTCCCCTAGGTTCCAATATGCCCTGTACGCCTGAAGCAGTTGATGTTCTAAGAAAAGCTGACGTCCTCATTGCTCCTGCTATTGCTGCTGGTGCTGGAGGGGTAGGATTTATCACTGACCTTCTCTAACTTATGCATGCCATATATCTTCAGCATTTTGAAGAACAATGCAATTATGGAATAATTATTTATATCCATGCAAAAAATTTTCGCTTATTATTTTAATTTTCAGTTAATTGTAGACATTCTTCTGTTATTATTATAATGAAAATGCTTTCACAAACTAACTTGTTTGATGATATTGTATAATTTCTAATTCAAAGTGTCTCTGCCACATCATCATGTGAAGTATTCATGGTCTTATATTTCTTTTAGGTAGTCCCAAGTCCATAGGAAAAGATATGTAGGTTGAAGAAAAACCTGCAGATAAGAAACTTGGATTTTATGTCAGTGCATAAAGAAAGACCAAAACATGAATGGGATGGGGAGTTGTATGCAATTGTGCTTATAGTTAAACATACATGAAATGTGGAGGAGGAAGTTATATGCAATTATGCTCATAGTCTTAAATGTTCTCCTCTGGCAGATTATATTGTTACTATATATTCACCCAAAATAGAATTAGATGAACATATTGAGCAGAAATAGCTTGGAGAGAAATGCATGGAGTAGTTGAAGGTAAACCTGAATACGAGAAAATGTGTAGGAGGAAGTTAAATGGAAGAAATTGTTCTGTAATTGTTTTTCTTTCCCATCTTTATTTGTGATATTGCTCTTGGTTTTCTTTAACAATAACAATTATTTGATTTATGTGTGAAATGTGCAATCGCTTGGTTTTTAGGTTGCTGCTGGAGAACTTGAACTGATTAACTGGTCCCCTGAAGAATTTGAATCTAAATTGCAGGTGAGGTTTTCTAATTATGAATTTAGTTGCTGGATTGTGTTAGAACTAGAACAATTGCTCATCTTTTTTGTTTCGTTTTGTTAAGTAAGAAAATTTTATGACAAAATATAGGATATTACAATATAGTTTAAGACTCGCTAGAGGGCAACCAGGTAAGCACTCCTTAACTAAGGAGCTAAGAAGCATGTAAACTTCTATGGTGGAGGCATGTCACATTGGACACTTGTGTCAGGCACTAACAATCTACGGACACTCCTTAAATTGTTTGGTACTTCTTCAACATGTCTTCATTAAAAAATTAAATTCATAATATCATACACTTTACACCCAAGTAGCACAGACATGGACATGGCAATGACACGCCAACACATCGATTTCAAAAAAAATGCAAGACACAACACTTCTAGGACATGTTAAAAATTTATATTTTATAAATTTATTATGTATGTAAAATATATGAATAGTTTATTCAAAGGTAAATAACAAAAAAACATAACACTAACTAAAATTAAAGAGTCTTATAAATTAAATATCAAAATATCATTTACATAACAATTACAATCTCAAGAATGTATAACAATTGGAGAATATAGAAATATACATGGTGTTAGTGGCGGAGCCACAGCTAGTCCAGGGGGTCATGTGCCCCCCCTGGGTTTTGGGAATTTTTTTTTTGCAAATATAAAGAATATATTTTAAATAAAAAAATTATAATATATTATTTGGAGTGAAATATCAATGACATTTTTAAAATTATTATAATAATAATGGTTGTTTTTTTTTTTAATTAAAAATAAAGATATTACGATAAGTCATATTATTATCTATGAAAATTTCAATACAATGATGATGTCTATCATTATTGACATACAATTATAATTAATCTCAATGAAGATATGAAATTTATTGAATTGCTAGTTATATTTGACTTGTGGGGTTTACCCTCCATGTGTTTCTTTACTATTGGTTGATGATATCATATGTCAATGATAACGCGGTACTACTATTATATTGAATTTTTACTGAAATTTTGTATAAAAAATTACTTTGTCATTATATAATTTATTTTAAATCTTATATCCATGGCTTATTTTATTTTATTTTATTTTATATTGTTTATGATATACTAGTTACAAATAAAAAATATATATATATACATACATATATTTATCTTTCTTGAAGTCAATCGTAAAAATTTATGTGAAATATTTTTTGTAAAAATTTTCAATGTTTTAATTAATAAGTGCCCTATCTGATTTAATTTCTTGGCTCCGCCATTGCATGGTGTATTCATCTTATAAGTGGTTCAAGACATTAAATTGAATAAGTTGCATTCCAAATAATACAAAACATTGTTACTATGAAGACATTCATCACATAGGTTATGTTTGGATGGTTTAAGAAGTATTGCCAAAGTGTCCGTAAAATGTCCGATATTATGAATTTACATTTTTAATTAAGCCACGTTGAAGAAGTGTTGGACACAAATTTTAAGAGTATCCACACAGTGTTGTGTTCTATTGCTAGTTATATTTGACTTATGGGGTTTACCCTCCATGTGTTTCTTTACTATTGGTTGGTGATATCATATGTCAATGATAACGCGGTACTACTATTATATTGAATTTTTACTGAAATTTTGTATAAAAAATTACTGTCATTATATAATTTATTTTAAATCTTATATCCATGGCTTATTTTATTTTATTTTATATTGTTTATGATATACTAGTTACAAATAAAATATATATATACATACATATATTTATCTTTTTTGAAGTCAATCGTAAAAATTTATGTGAAATATTTTTTGTAAAAATTTTCAATGTTTTAATTAATAAGTGCCCTATTTGATTTAATTTCTTGGCTCCGCCATTGCATGGTGTATTCATCTTATAAGTGGTTCAAGACATTAAATTGAATAAGTTGCATTCCAAATAATACAAAACATTGTTACTATGAAGACATTCATCACATAGGTTATGTTTGGATGGTTTAAGAAGTATTGCCAAAGTGTCCGTAAAATGTCCGATATTATGAATTTACATTTTTAATTAAGCCACGTTGAAGAAGTGTTGGACACAAATTTTAAGAGTATCCACGCAGTGTTGTGTTCTACATGGGTGTCCAACACGACACGCCTCCTCTATAGAAGTGTCTATGCTTTTTAGCTTCACAGACACTTCGTAGACTCTTCGGTAATACTAGATGACCTATGTAATGAATCTCTTTATAGTAACAATGTTTTGCATTTTTCATAAGAGTGGTGCTACATCCCCCCAATACATTACCCACATTTTGACCTCTAATGAGGTGAAAGAGAGAGAGAGAATAGAGAGAGATAGAGAGAGGAGGGATAAGGAGTGAGGAGTGTGGGTCCATTCCACATCATTGGGGGTGGATTGGTGTCACGACCCAAACCTGCCCCCATAGGTTTAGTATCGTAACCGGCCAGTAATCCGTAAATTACCGAAGGCCTCTTAAACAGAAAACAAATTATTAGGGGCTAACGGAAGTAAATAATAAATATACAATGTCCATTGAGCTGTGCAGACTTACATGAGACAGAAAAATTTTGAACTTTGTTTTTTTATACATATATATCACATCATCATATATACCGATTAGACAAAAAAGGACTTATCCCTAACTACAAAATAAATGAAACTTAAACTTTAATCACATGGCTTTGACCATTTGACATATCCGAAACCTCTACGGGAGACATAGGTTGGTTGACAGAACAAAGTCCAGGCAAAAGTTGTAGGCTTGGTCACGTGCCTGATCACCTACATACATAAATAATACAGTGAGCTGGAGCCCAGTGAATAATTTCGATGTAAAGAGGTTAAATAAATAAGATCCATAGCTTAAACAAAACAATATAGTGTTCTTCACATAATTAAAGCATACTTCGGAAACATATAATAACTAATATGGACTATCTAGTCTTTTCACAATTCGCAATACCCAATTGCCTTATCAAAATTTGTCGAAATACCACATAGAATGTTCACTGCAGAACGAAACATTCGGAACGCTCTCATTGAGCGGCTTCATACAAAACACCCACATAGGACGACTTCATGCAAAACGCTTATATAGGACGACATTATACAGAACATCCTTATTGGACGACTTATGCGAAACGTCCACTTGGGACGACTTGGTACAAAACGTCCATATAGGATGCGCTTATGCAAAACGCCCACTTCGGTGACTTTATTCAAAACGTCTATAACGGGCAGATATCATACCGATCGATACAATCGAAATCATGCAAAATGATCAATACAATCGAAATCATGCGAAACGATCATAAAAGGTTGATGTCATATATTATATCACAATGAGTCAATAGCTTATACTGAACGTAAATGACGAGTTGAATACTATACAGAAGTCATTGGGGATCAAAAGACATTTCCCAAGCTGTTATCATAGTTATCGTTTCAAAAGGAACTCATTCTTTCTTAAACAAATTCCATTTTTGAAAAGCTTATCATATCTAACAAAATCTCATTTTCAAAACATATCGTATCGTACACGTTTTATAGTTTCAAAGTATAACTTAACAGTTCCAAGGTTCTTGTTCACAAACTTATCGTATCAACATTTCATAAACGTTTCATAACAAAACATAGGTGGCCCAAATTACCAGATAATATAGTCAAAGTAATTCAGACACAAAATTATCTTTACAAAGAAATTACTCATTGTGCTCGGCCGGATGATACTCCTTGTGCAAGCGACCTACACAAACACATAACATATACGCATTGAAACGCAATATCACTTTCTTGATTCAACTTGGCTTCCTTTGTCTTTTTCTGTCTAAGTAATCCGAAGTTCTACTATACTTATTCTTTCTTTATTCAAATGAATCGGGTTCTCATTTCACATATTCTTTCATTACTAAATCCTTCTTTTCCAAATGGACAGATTTCTAACTTGGCTTCTTAATCAATCATTACTAAATAAATCAGTGATTTATTCATGAAAGATTTCAAATATTTTTCGTTGATTTTCAAAACATGAAATTAAAGTTATAAAACTCGTAAAAGCATATTTGCATGTAATTTATGAAGCTTAATTTAACCATAATTTTCCAAAATCAAGTCCAAAATAATTACTTTCTAATTTTACTTTCATAAACTTGATCTTAACTCCAACTCATCATTTTCTTATCAATTTTCCTAACAAATATTGCATTTGCATGTATGTAATTTAAATAAAACTAACTAATTTAATATATTCCACAACATGTTTAAATTAAATAAAACTCTTAAATTACATTACATGCATGGATCAGAGATTAAAATCAAAACTTCATTTAACTCCATGATTAAACCCTTTTCATGAACTTAATGTTTTCAAAACTTTTTCTTCAAAATCAAATACATAATAAATTTGCGTGGCTCAAATCCTTTCAAAACTCATGGTGCATGTAAATATACATCTCATATATGTCAAGGTTTCCAAATTCAAGCTCAATTTGAAGACTTCTTACAATTATTTCCATAACTATAAACATGTACGTAACCCATTTCATGTTTAGAACCCAATTTCCTTCTAATTCCATGAATGGAATCTTAAATCCTTCTCAATCTCAAGTATTATGAGAAAATACTACAAAATAAAACCAAAAAAACAATTAATTCTCCAAATTAATTTCCATATTTATTCTTTAATTTCTCCAATTTACATGCATGCAAAAACGAGACTCAAAATTCATGTAAGTCATTCAAAATCAAACCAAAAAAAAAAAAAAATAATTTCTAAGTTGATTTCCATAACCATGAGCCTAGCTCAATTTTCATATTCAAACCCATTTTCTTACAAGTTCCATAAATTGATTCCATAACTTCCTTAATTTCAACTAGTACATAAAATATGTACATGAATTAAACATAAATCTCTTACCGGAAGCTTCAATGCCAAAGGTAATGTGTTGATTTCCTCTAACTCCCCTTGTTATTCCTTCAATTTCCATCACAAAG